TAAAAATATAAGAAACTAGCTGGGTGTGGTGGCGAGTGTCTGTAATCCCAGGTACTTGGGAGGCTGAGGTACAAGAATCACTTGAACCCAGGAGGTGGAGGCTGCAATGAGCCAAGATTGCACCACTGCACTCCAGCATGGGACAGAGTGAGACTCCGACTTAACAACAACAACAAAAGAATAGCCAAATGAAAAACAAAACCCTCCAAAATTGTCCCTAAATACTGAACTTTACATATTAACTTCCTTTTACCTTACAATTATAAAAATGTTTTCACAAATATTAAAAATATATTTAAATTAAAAAATTGCTTTAAAGGACTGGGCTATAGGTATAAGTACTGATTTATGAAAACTAGTAACAAATATAGAGCTGCTTTTTAATTATATGAAAATGAAGTATCACATTTATTCCTATAAATTAAAAACAGCTGTCTTTTCCTTATAGATTTATTTTTGAGACAAAGTCTCACTCTGCTGCCCCATGCAGACATGATCACAGCTTACTGCAGCCTTGACCTCCTGTGCTCAAGTGATCTTCCTGCATCAGCCTCCCAAGTAGCTTTGACTACAGGTGTGCACCATTACACCCAGCTAGTTTATTTTCATTTTTTCTGGAGACAGGTCTCGCCATGTTACTTAGGGTTGTCTTGAACTCCTGGGCTCAAGCGATCCTCCCACTCAGCCTCCCAAAGTGCTGCGATAACAGGCGTGAGCCACCATGCCCAGTCCTAAGTGATACTTTAATCAAGGGCAGCTCTCTTGCTCCTGGTTTTGCCATGTAACGTGCCTGCATCCTCTTTGTCTTCTGCCAAGATTGTAAGCTTCCTGAAGCCTCCCCAGAAACTGAGCAGACTCTGGCACCCTGCTTCCCATAAAGCCTGCAGAACTGTTCATAGAGAGAAATTTTATTCGAGGGTGGCTCATACCCAGAGTTTCATTATACCTGATATAGATGATTTAAATAAGATATGGGGCTTTTTAGCTGATTAAATTTAGAAATTGAGAAGATGGAAAAAGATATTCTAGAATGAGCTATCAAGCCACACAAAGACATGAAGGGACAAAGACATGCTTACTGATCTGTGAAAGAAGCTTGCCTGAAAGGGCAACACACTGGACCAGTCCAACTATATGACATTCTGGAAAAGATCTGTACATTTGATATCAGGAAAAAAAACCCAGAAACAACAAAACAACATAAATACTTCAAACAGCAAGAGTTTAGAAAGCATAAAAATTCAGGGCTGGGTGCGGTGGCTCACGCCTGTAATCTCAGCACTTTAGGAGGCTGAGGCAGGTGGATTGCTTGCAACTAGGAGCTCAAGACCAGCCTGGGCAACATGGCGAGATCCTATTGCCACAAAAAAAATTTTTTTTAATTATATGGGTGTGGTGGTATGTGCCTGTAGTCCCAGCTACTTGTAAGGCTGAAGTGAGAGGATTATTTGAGCCCAGGAAGCTGAGGCTGCAGTGAACTGTGATCACACCACTGTACTCCAGCCTGGGCAACAAAGACCTTATCTCAAGGAAAAAAAAAGTAAAAGAAGCATGTTTATCTATCTCTATGTTTCCAGATGGATTCATTTCTACATGCATTAACTATCAACATTAAATCTCTGCCAATGGTAAGTTTAAATCCCAACAAACCTGAAAAACCAAATGCTTCAAGCCCAATGCCAAAAAAAATCCTATGAACATGCCAGCTGTTTGCCTTTTCAACTTCACCTAACACTCCCTCCTAATGGAAAATTTCAACATGCAAATTGTTACGCAGATGCAGAACACAGATAACTGGAAATGATTGGAACAATATTCCATGAAGTTTCTAACTTAGAAAACCACACTGTTTTCATACTCAATATTTGTGCCGCAGGGAACTGACCCCAGAATAATGCTCTTAATCCTCAAATGCCACTAATGAAATCATTTTCACTAAGTAGCTAGGTCCAGGACCTGTGTTAGTACTGGTATATAGTGTCCACAAATAGGTGAAGAGCAAGTATGTGCCAGTAAAAAACTGTATGAGTTGTGGGAATGCAGCAGAAGACAGCCACTATGGTAAATTAAGAATGTTTCAGAAGAGATGGTAAACTTGGTCTTAATGAAAGCTCATAAGGTTAACAAGAAAGGGGAAGGCATTCTGGTGAGAAGGAACAACTGGCCGGATTCCAAATGGCTTAAATGTCATGTCATCTGGATTATATCCTTTGTGTAAAAAGGAATCACTGAAGGTGACTATGAAAAATGATTGGGTGCAGTGGCTGATGCCTGTAATAACAGCACTTTGGGAGGCCAAGGCAAGTGGATGGCTTGACCTCAGGAGTTCGAGACCAGCCTGGGCAACACAGTGAAACCTGTCTCT